ACACACACACACACACACACACAAACACGCACACATGTGAATGACAGGGCTAAGCAACGACTCACTCCAGAGATAAAAGCAAGTGCTGTCGTTGCTGCTGCACATTGCCTTGGCAATCTTGGGTGTCACTACAGCAAGCCCAGGTAAATACAGGTAAGGGAGAAGATCACTGGCTGGGATCTTTATGACACACTGCTTTGATGGGCACTGGACAGGTGGAGTGTCAAAGACAAACTGCAGCATGCTGCTAATATAATGGACATATTGAAGTTCTCTTTGATTATTGATTAGTGCTTCAATGGGAGTCCAACAAGAATGGATTCTGATGTGACATTTGAAATGTCAGAGGTCTTGAGTCACATGATTGTGGTGTGTATCTGGGGAATTTGTTGGATTCTTCTTCCTGTTGATCATTAAAATGATCAAAATACACAATGTTTATACTTTTAGTAAAGAGCAAAATGACTTCTTTCCCAGGCACTTGTAAAATGTATCCTTGACAGATGGATGAATAGATGAATAGAACAGCTTTATGAATACCAAGCAGGAACCTAGGTAAGTCACTAAGGTTTAAAAGACAGACCATATAATCCATAGGCACTTCACTTTCCAACAACAATACACTCCTATACCTGCCAAGGCCAACCAGCAAAAGCCTGTAATAATTCATGAATCAGTAAGAGTCAGAGTCGCTGATGGGTATGGATTTAATAACATATTTATGCCTCAGTTATGTGCAGTCTTGAATATTTGCCTGGTTTCAAACTTGGCATTTTTCTGAGAGCTGATTAAATCAAAGCAAATCGATGCAAAAGGAACATACTGTGCTATGGAAAAATGAGACCATAAAGATGCAAACTGTTGACTACAAAGGTATTGCTCTGTTTGTGCAAGGCCATGATTTGGCAAGAAATGTGCAGGATGACATATGGCACAAAGAAAGTGTTGCAATTAAAAACAGGAAGAACGCTCAAGTGTTTGTCTCACAGGCACACTAAAAAGCACTTACATACCTCCACCAGAGCTGCATAGTCCAACAGATTTTGTTCAGTCAGTGATTATTTTTTAACCCACTGATTGAATCAATAGATGCAGCAGAATACACAAAATGATAGACAGTAACAGCATGGATGAAACAGATTTCTATCAAACATGTTGGTGCAGTGCTTAATGAGAATGAGTCTTCAATGCCTTATCTTACAATGCTGTGCAACACTTTAACAACTAATAACTTTAATAACTTTGCCCATAGACATGGCCTACCATTCCACCAAATTCAACTGAAACCTGATGATGGATTTTTGGGATATCCAGAGCACCAACAAACAAACAGACCAATAGGACTGAAAACATCCTTCATCAAACCACCTTGGGGACAGTAAGGAAAGTCACCACAGCTAAAGGAGGTGTACAGTATCAGTTGCTAGAACCTTGGAAAAACCTGGATACTAATCACCTCATTTACCAATGTAATGTCAGGGAAATCAGAGTTACTCTTCTGTATCTTGACAAAGGACTAGCACTTAAATAAAGCTTCTGTAGATTGGAAGTTTCTGTATTTTGCCCTATTTTCTTTCCTCCCATGAATCAGAATGAGTACTGGATAGAAATCAGAATTTATCAGCAGCACTGCAATCAAAATTGATGCTATTATTATAATACCAAAATGTCCTTATCATGAGTTGAAGCAGTATAATTTGGTTGACTGATAAACTGAACGGGTTCCTGATGAGCATCTTGTCCTAATACACGAAAACAAAATCAGACAAATGTATTCCAGTCCCATTATTCAGTTTACATGACACTGTTACATTGTTAAAACACCTCTTCTGTTTGCATACTGTATGTGTCTTAACACTGCTGTCTGCGAACGGGGGAACAAGTGGCGAGTCATCTCTGCAACAGCTGATGTACAAGACTGCAGCTGAGGGACTAGTTAAGGGGTTGCCAGAGTCATCAGCTGCTAACAAGCTCAACATTTCTCCTTTGGGGTAAAAAATCTGCCATATGATACAACCGACTAAGCACTTCAATGCTTGACCCAGTGCCTGATTTAGCACAGACAATAACACCAAATAGGTATGCAGGAATAATCCGGTGAGCTACTTTTTTGTGTTAAAATTCAGGGATTTTAGTTGACCGGCAAATTGTCTGTTTTGAAGAAGTTGCCTTCACAGAGTGCTTGGCAAAAAATGAATTATCGGCTTTGATTAACTCATATTGGTCCAAGCAGAAAGTCTTCAACAGAGGCTCAAAGAATGCAAACACCAAGGGAAAAAGCTGACTCAGCATGTCTGCCTCTTCTTCCATTTCCATAGCAACACATTCATTCTCATCTAAAACCTTTAATGCCAGATGCAGAGTGCTCTGTTTGACCTGTGTGACTTCTTCAATAACCGTGTGTGTGTGTGGTGGTACTGCATTAGTGTGTCACTCAAAGTCAGATTTAACTCCCTTTGCAAGACCCCTGCTCTTTGTGTGCAGGGGGATGCACTTCCAAATGCACACACACGCACACACACTCCACTGTTAGAGGAGATTAATTCACACTTTCATCACCAAGCCTTGGTCCCGAGGGAGCCTCGAGGAGACTTGGGGCAAAGTGACTGCGGGGGATTGCAGAGGGTAATGGGTTAGAGGTGTGTGTGTGTGTGTGTGTGTGTGTGTGTGTGTGTTCACTGGCAATAAAGCCTCTGTCCACAGCGAAGTGCTCTCCCCACTGGGTCTGAAAACAAACACAGACTGGCCACTAAGATGTGCTTGTGAACTGTGTATATTTTTGTGTGTATGTGTGTTACTGTGCATGTGTGTATTCCCTCTTTGTAAAGTTAACATTCCCTCACTACTGTTGTGTCACACAATTTCTCAATTTTTTCATTATATCATAAAAAATAATTTAAGTATCAAAAAAATTCTGGTTCCAGTGAGGACTGGCTGCTTTTCTCTGTGGCATTATGACACTGTAAAGTAATTCCCTTTGAATTTTAAACTTTTGGTCAAACTAAGACATCCCTTAAGCTGCTTTCACACAGCTCCACGGTACCTTGCCCCCTCCAGCCATTAAAATGAGGGGAAGGCAGCAGAGGGAAAGTGGTTTCCAACACAGCAGTAGGGGTATGAAGCGGTTGCCAACCAGGTGCAAGCAGAGTTTGCTCTGCTGCACTGAACTTTTGGCGGTTGCCACCCGACTTCTGCCAATTGCATAGTGGGTATAGCAGAAGCAGAAAGAAGACAAGATGGTGAGTTACAGCTTTAGAAACTTCTAGACAACCAGAAGAAAAAAATGGGCCTGGAGTAACGTTTTCACCAAAGCTCAACCGCCTGGTATGAGGCTACAAGCTTGCTTGCACTTCTGCCAGTGTTCACCAAAGCACCTGCCTGTCATTGCAGCCATGGACTAGGGATGCACCGATCCGATTTCTTGATCGAATATCGGCCCCGATATCATCAAAATAGATGGATCAGGTATCGGAAAATGCAAGCTATACCTGAGGTGATGCTTTCCCTTTAAATCTATTGCGACGCGTCCATACGTCATGGAGCGAAGGAGAGAATCTGCTGTGTGGGGGTATTTCACACTATTTCAACTGCTGTTGCACAATTGTTTATTTTTGTTAAAAATAAATAGTTCATCATTGCATTAATCTGTTTCATCTTGTTTCATTTTATCTTAGGGAAGAACTGTGTAGTCATCAATGCCTGATGCCTCTAGTCTTTTCTGTTCATGTAAAGGTATATAGCTTCTTAGGTCAACCATAGTATAGTATATAGTATAGTATAGTAACCATGGTATAGTATCGGTATCGGGTATCGGGTGATACTCAAAGCCACTGCATCGGGATCGGGATCGGTATCGGTATCGAAACTGAAAAAGCTGGATTGGTGCATCTTTACCATGGATAATAGTGATAGGAACCACTTTCGAAAATGCTTAGCTTTTTGAGGGATCACTCTTGCAGACTGGGGGTTGTCAGGGTGGTTAGTGAGCGGTAGTGTTAAAGCAGCTTTAGGCACTACAGCAGGGTGCAAAATTAACTTTTTTGTCCACTGAGTCAAATGGCTGGCCAGGTAGGTAGAGCAGATCGTCAAAGATTCGGAAGATAGGCGGTTCCTTCAGTTTGGACAACATACTGAACCCCAACTCGCTCCATGTTGCATG